CCCCCCCTTCTTCCCAGTTCTCAACAACTGTCCAAGTACCGTAAAAAGATTTCTGAGGTCTTCAAGTCTCTGGAATCTGCGATTTATCCCCCCTGTCCCTTATCAAATCTTCCCTTGCACATGTCAAGTGCTCGAGTTAAACTTCAGGTTGATTTCTAATCAAATACACATCACCAAATTATGTATTTCAGAATCAGCTGCTGCTCCAAATGATGACACCACAAACCCAGATTCTGCACAAAACGGAGAGGGGGCCGCTACAGCTGATGGTAAGTTGTTGTGTGCAGGCTTTACAGCAACCATAATTGTACATTTTCATAAAGATCCGCTGTGACATTTTGTTGGAAGTTTTACAGTACAGGGTATCCGGAAAGGTGTGGGCTAGGGCTGTGGTACCCTTTTTGGGCCTTGAAGGGTGTGCATGGGGGTTTGGTCTCTAAAGACTAAACACAGTACATGTACACAAGACAACTGTTACTCAAGCAACTTGATAGATTTGGAAAACTGTCAGACATTTCAAGTAGCGTTCACTACTTTTAGTCAGTGACCATTTGCTTGAGTATTTGTTTATTTGTTTATTTTGATTTTTCACAAAGTGAAGGGGGGGGCAAAACAGGTGCATACGCACCTTTACAAGTTGCCCTCCCCCAATCAATATCAGAATCAATTTTCTTGTGTATGCCATTACCTGGATGTCTAACCTTCATCGACAGTACGTGAACTTCACAATTAAAATTTTCAAAAACAAGTTTCATACTACGCAAACTTTACTTTCCAGAGCCCAGCCCACAGGAAGCAACTCCAGCAAATACAGAATCCACCCAAAATGGAGCCGAAGCTCCTACAGCAAACGGTTAGTTTTTAGCTACAGTATAACTTGTTACGTGAATGTTATCCAAAGCACAAATAGCTAACAATGAGTCATTCTGAAATGTAAAAAAAAAATAGATCTATACTGTTCTGTGTATTGTGTTGTGAATGTTTTGTTCAACTTCAAGAATGGAAATCGTCACTCTGATGATACAAAATAAGTAGACCATTTTAAAAATCTATCCAGTTACTCAAACAACAACTTCCTTGTGTATCTCATTAGCTGGATGTCTAACCTTCATCACTGTATTTTGTTCACCATTTGTGTTGACTAATATGAATCCTTGTACCCCTTGCATTAACATCTGTGTCCATAATATCACCATAGTCCATTAAAATCGCCACCTTGAGAAAAAGTGTGCTTAAAGATATTTTTACCACAACATACCCTAGTAAGTACATTTGAGGTGTGCAGGAGTGCATACCAAAAGTATGTTGCAGTAAAAGTATCTTTAAGCACACTGTTTCTCAAGGTGGTGATATTATGGACCCTGGTGATATTATGGACACGGACGTTGCTACCTTTCCATGATCAATTCTGACATAATGAAATATGTCATGCTACGTCCCAACCCCTTGCCTTCATGTATTGCAGAAGACTCCAGCCAGCCTGCTGAGAGTGGCCAGGAACAGGGGCAACAAGACATCCAGTGGGTGGAAGGTCAGTAAATATTTGGTCTACATTTTGTTTTCTGAAAACTACTCAGACTTTTTAGGTGAGTTAGTGGCCCTGCAGAAACTGATACTGTTCCCCTGATAAACACTTTCTGTGTTCCTTGTTTTGAACTAATGTTCTTGCATGTATTTGGGCAGGTACACAGCTTACAAAATTGTTTGGTTTGTCCACCCCTGCCTTGCATTCGTGACATGATGTCATATAAGAATTACATTAGATTTGCCTGATAAATAAGTGCCTTATAGTAAAATGTAGAACCTTATTCCAACACAAGGATTACACAGAGATCAAATTTTCAATGACCGCTGTCGCCTTCATCAGGATAATTAATAATAACCAATCACTTCAAAACTTAATCTTGCAAGAGCTACGGTTACAGACACGTGACCTTATTCACACGAGACTTTATATATGTGACGTTTCTATACGTGACGTCAGCAATTGAAGGTGACGTTGGTCGTTGAAGATTTGATCTCTGTGTAATCCTTGTGTTGGGATAAAGTTTAGTATGATTACATGTACTCCCAACAATGTACTTTATTAAATTCTTTTATCATAACTACCTTTTGATTGTACTTAAGTAACCTTTTATTATGTTATGTATGTCACAGGGAGCTTTAAAAAGCGCCAAAATGGCGATATGCTAACCTGTATAAATAAATAAAAATGAAATGAAATGAAACACAGATGAACTTTCATAATAATCACTTTGATAATAGCAATTGCCTTAATATTGTGTTTTTTTTTCATCCAGAATCAGGACAGTCTGAGGACCAAGCTGCGGCAGACACAACTCAGGCAGCAGCAGAAGGTGCCGCAGACAAGACAGAGGAACCGTCCGAAGCAGTCCCTGCAGCAGGTATATACTGATTTTTTATTCGTCACCAACGATACAAAATTGCGGTGCTAACTTATAAGGCTCCTGAATTCATTTGCCGTTTACAATTCGTTTGACATACAGGGGTTACCATTGCGCACGGAATATATAACTCTGACAGGTGGAGGACAATAAAAAGCAGAACTAAATGATATTTGAACTCAACAATCCCCTACTGTGCTGGACTGCTGAATGATTCGAATACTGCCTGATTGTGCAGCACTGAGGACTTTTTAAGATTTCAATTGTTGCTAAATGCTGTTTGTAATTATGAGTATTTTTAGCGTAATTAAGAATTGTGATTTTAAGTATATGTAATGGAGTATGTAATTCAGTCGGCAGACTGTGAAGTGCTTATTGTTGTTTTACTACTACAAATAAACCATTTATACATAACTCAAGCATTAAAAGATACAGGTTCATTAAGATTATTTTACACTGAAACTGGTAACTTTATCAATAGATGTCAAATCAATACATCAAACAGGTGATGAAGTGACAGCAGACAGCCAGCAGGGACAGCCCGACACCGACACAGCTGGAGATCAGGTGCCACAGCCTGCTGCTCAGGACAGCACTCAGGAAAAGCAAGGGGACAGCACTGAAAAGCCGGAGACAGCAGCAACTGCTGATGCCACCGAACAGCCTGCACAGCCATCCGATGACACTGCCGGCAAGGACGCTGACGCTGCTCAGGCTGCTGAACAAGAGAAACAGCCAGAGGTCACACCAGCAGACGCAGGTGAACAGCAAGCACAGCCAGAGGTCACTCCTGGAGAGGCTAGTGAACAGCAAGCACAGCAGGAGGAGACAGCAGCAGACAGTAGTGAACAGAAAGCAAAGCCTGAAGAGACTGCAGGACAGCCTGCAGAACAGCAGGCTGCACCAGAGGAAGCAGCAAAAGACAGCAGTGAACAGCAAGAAGTTGCCGACAAACCAAAGGATGATGCAGCACCGGGTAAGGGCAACAAAGGAATTATAATATTTATGTAACTACAGTCAGAGGTTAGCTAATAGCGGTCAAATATGGTCAGTCACTGACAACAACCTCCAGTCATTCAAAACAAGAGTACACCGGCATCTTCTTTCCACCATCAGGACTTCTACATGTAGCTAGAACCTTGCAGTTGCTGTAAACCAATGATAAGCCAGGAGTGCTATAATGGACCTATACCATTATTACGTCACAGTTTGTTTACCTGTTCTAAAGAACATTCTAGAACGGTCAGTTAAAGAATAAAGATAAAGATCATTTCAAAGTTTTCAAAGTAAGGTATGTGTGATTTTTGCTGCGTCTAGTTGTGTTGGCACAGCACTACATGCCGCATGGGTGATTTAGTTGTGACATTAGCCGAAAGTAGTACTGTACTAAAAGCCTTATATTAGGCTAACGCTACACAAACACACACTGCGCTACGCACCCCTGTACAATATAAACGGCAATTGACCGGCATTCATTGCGGTAAACAAACTGTGACGTAATAATGGTATAGGTCCATTGTAATGTTATAACCCAGGCTATTGTTTTTGTTAGCACATTATAGAATATAAATCTAATGTGCTTTTCCCGTTATCATCAGCTGCAGCTGAAGCCGGCCAGGAGCAGGAAGCTGCACCTGTAACAGGTGACGAAGTTACCGAGGGCACAGAGGGCGGCATGCCGGCCAACTTCTTCTACAACTACGCAGAGCGGGTGTCCAAACCACACGTGACTCAGGACTCCGGCATTCCTCTCAACCTGATGGAGCTACAGTATCCTTTCCAGTGGTCAAATCCTTTTTTTTTCTATGCTGTCACCAAAGTCCTCAGCTTAGCAGCTGTACCGAAATAACGTTCGCTATAAGGTTGCTGACGGGAAGCGCTGAGGTAGCCATTATGGTTTAAAATGGGGTAGGGAATTTTCCCGACCAGCCTCGTAACCCCTGCTTCTCCTATTGGGTCAGTTAGTCCTCACTACTTGTGAGAAATTGGGCTGGTCTCAATCATGATGTTTCTGACTCAGGGAGAAGAGTTGCTGTTACAGTTCTACTCGGTAACCCGTAACCCAGGTGAGTGGTAATACCATTCAGGTGGTAATGCTATTCAGGTGATACCATTCAGGTGGTTAACCAACTTTGAAGTGGCCTAATGGCCGTGTTACGTGGCGACCACTAAGTAAAAAAAAAATTACCTTAACCCACGCGACAGCCACTCGTTTGGGTACGACTGCAAGCGGCGCTCGAACCTTCACCTGGTGGATAAGGACACGGTGGTGTTCATTGCCGGGAACGCGGTGGAGGTTTTGGGTCTGGAGACGGGAGAACAGAAGTACCTGCACAGCACCAGTGGCAGGGGCGTCGGCGCACTGACGGTAAGTCATGTTACAATATAGACTGGTTTATTTCGAAAAGAACATGCATACAACATACATATAAGTTGCTAATTGCAGCCCGCAGGCTGAATTGGGCAGCTTTTACAATGAGATACACAAGTAGAATATATATAACATGTACATAACTTAACCATAAGCATCAAATATTGCACTAGATTATTGCACTTTTATGTTAAAATTACGGCGATTACAAAATTGGTTACAAATTACATGAAATAGCTAAAAAACTATTACATCTACTATAAGATAAAACACTATTACAACACATACAGCTATTATAAAAAATAATCTACTATAAGTCCAAGGTGTTCAATATGTGCAACATTGAGGGAACCGGGCTACGTAGATATCTTTGTGTCCCTTTGGGTGGTTTGTATCGCCGTGTTTGTCTAAGCTGCATGTTGTGTGGGTGGTTACTGTCTGCAGGTAGCCAGGGGGCGTGCCTAGGCGTTACAATAGAATAAGTAAAACAATAATATGACATACTGGTAATACAATATAGAGCATTGAATGTAACTGTCCCTCAATACATTTGTCAGGGCTGGAAATACTGAGTGCATGGGCACCTTAGTGCACCCAAATTTGGAGCTGTGCACCCAGTTTTTTTCTGTGGGTGCACCAGTGTACCCATATATTTTCTTAGGTTTAACGTATTTAAAACTGTATAGTAGTTATTCTTAACATCTAAGTGTCAGAAAAAATTACAATCATTGTTATAGCACTTTTTTTGAAATGAAACAAAATTATTATTAATAGTTTTTGCTGACATTCTACTTATTTTATCTTATGTGTTGGCCTCTTCTTCGTGTCCAAAGATGTTATGATTTTATCTTATATTTTGCACCTAAAGTATTTTTTGTGCACCCAATTTTTAAGGTTGGGTGTACCGCGTCATGCAGCTCTTGTTGTTCTGTGCTGTTTCTTCCTTCCTGTTTTTGCTTTTGCAGTCCTACAGGCACACGTGCTGCTCATTTACCCATTTCACGTTACAGGTTTTCGTTCATCTTTCAATTTGTGGGACATCTTGACTCTCTGGTCATAGTTACAGGACGCGCAATTTCTTGTTTGTTTTTTCTGGGAACAGGCCAAAATCAATGTGCATCCATAAAAATTACTTGGTGTAGCCTAATACAAGGTAGAGCATAATAAATTGAATGTAACAATTCTTCCTACAGGTGCACCCAAGCCAGAAGTACTTCGCTGTAGCGGAGAAGGGTGACCAGCCCAACATCAACATCTACGAGTGGCCGTCCATGCGGCTGTACCGCGTCATGCGCGCGGGAACGGCCGAGGCCTACGCCTTCGTGGACTTCAACCCCAGCGGGGACCTGCTGGCCTCGGTCGGCAGCTACCCGGACTTCATGCTCACCATCTGGGACTGGAAGAACGAGCAGATCGTCCTCAGGTCCAAGGCCTTCGGTCAGGACGTCTTCCGGGTGACCTTCTCACCAGAAAACGAGGGCTTCCTCACGTCCAGCGGTATCGGCCACATCAGGTATCAGTGTCAGAAACACCCATCTGTAGTCTGCATTTTGCAGAGACATTTTCAAAGAAAGATTAAGCAATCCGCAAAGAAATCAGGCTAGGGATTCAATGGTGTTTGAGAGCTTTTGTGCTTACTCGATAATATACAAGTAATTTCGCATGTATTTTTCAAACTGCATGTAAAAAGTGTTGCTAGATTGTTGTAATAACTGACACTTTTTCTATCTGCGCTTACAGATTTTGGAAGATGGCACGGACGTTCACGGGTTTGAAGCTGCAGGGAGAGCTGGGAAGGTTCGGCAAGACGGCCATCTCAGACATCGAGGGCTACGTGGAACTGCCTGATGGGAAGGTGAGCAGGCCTGCCGCTTTTTACAGTTAGGAGTTGTAGCTGTCATATTTGGAGTGTGAGGTGGATAATGGAGGTCCCGTGTTTGAGGAAAGTTAGGAGTTGCAGCTGTCATATTTCGAGTTGAGGTGGATAGTGGAGGTCCCGTGTTTGAGGAAAGTTAGGAGTTGTAGCTGTCATATTTCGGGTGTGAGGTGGATAGTGGAGGTCCCGTGTTTGAGGAAAGTTAGGAGTTGTAGCTGTCATATTTCGAGTGTGAGGTGGATAGTGGAAGTCCCGTGTTTGAGGAAAGCCACACCTTGAGCACACCATACATGTAGACGCTGCCGTAGGGGTTTCCCATTGTGAGTTGATCAAACCATTCTGTCTTAAAATAGGAAATCTCCCCTACAGCTTTGTCTGTGGAGTCAAGCTTGCCTAAGCTTGATGCTTCTGACTTAGGGAGAAGAGTTGATGCTGTAGTGAGTGTTAGTTCAGTGCTTAGAAGTGGCCCTTGCAGCTTTGCACTGAGCAAACTCGTTTTAAAGATCCATCGTTGTAAACTACATTGCTCTGTGGATGTTGTGTGAACAGAATACATCGGCTGAACTTGACATTCCCCTGTTGCTATTGTGTGAACCTGAACTTGATTGTTGAACTTGTCCCCACAGGTCCTATCCGGTACAGAGTGGGGGAGCCTGCTGCTGTGGGAGGGGGGTCTGATGTTCTGTGAACATGAACTTGAAATTGACTGAACTTGATGGTTGACCTTACCGTTTGTTACAGGTTCTATCCGGGACAGAGTGGGGGAGCCTGCTTCTGTGGGAGGGGGGCCTGATTAAGGTGGAGATTCTGAGGAAGGGGAAGAAGCATGGACTTGAACTGTACTGAACTTGATTGTTGAACTTGTTGATGTGTGAACTTGACTGTTGAACTTGCCATTACAGGTACTATCCGGTACAGAGTGGGGGAGCCTGCTGCTGTGGGAGGGGGGCCTGATTAAGGTGGAGATTGTGAGGAAGGGGAAGAAGCCGTGCCACCAGGGGGAGGTCGAGCAGCTGGTCATGGACGAGGGAGAACTCATCACCATTGGAGCAGATGGCTGCGTCAGGGTAAGGGCCACTTTCACTTTCTTAAGCTTCACTATCTGCCCTCTGTTAGGGTCAGGGTCAGTTTCCCTTTCTTAACTCCATATCTCTTTTCATTTTCATTGCTGTGCCAGCCAAATGTGTCAAAATGTTTAAAACATTCGGGGGTTGGTCTGGAGGTTCGAGCATGGTGCTGATGCTTGACTGTAAGTCAGCAGAATACCAGCCAACAATTCAGAAATGAGTTAGCAGTGTTCCTGGATCAAATTTGACTCAAATCCATCTTGATTTGTGTAGAAAGGTAGCCGTGGCCTAAATCTGGTCAGACTGCTCCTAAACATTAGCCAAAGCAAAAAAAATCGGAAACACAAATTCAGGAGTAGGTTGTGAATGTATGAGATGAGCTTAACGGAATCAATAATTGAACAGGTGTTAAAAAAAAAAAATAAATAAAATGAGGTGAAGATCAATTCTAGACTCTTTTCATAGGTGATGTTGCAGTAAATCTAACATTTTGGCCCGTTCCTGGCTGTCCCTATAGGTGTGGGACTTTGAGACGATTGACATTATGTAGTAGCAAGTGGCAGGACAGAGTTGGAGGGGCTGGTCACCATGTATAACGTTACCTCCCTACAGGTGTGGGACTTGATTGATGATTGACATTATGTAGAAAGTGGTAGGACAGAGTTGGAGGGGCTGGTCACCATGTATAACATTACCTCCCTACAGTTGTGGGACTTGATTGATGATTGACATTATGTAGCAAGTGGTAGGACAGAGCTGGAGGGGCTGGTCACCATGTATAATGTTACCTCCCTACAGGTGTGGGACTTTGAGACGATTGACACGGCCGACACCGTGGACGACACAAATCAGTTTGAGATGGAGCCCATGAACGAGCTCAAGGTCGGCAGCGGCGTCCACCTCAAGTCCATGACCAAGTCCGTGGACCCGGAACAGTCCACCATGTGGTACGCACAGGTAAGTCCACGTTGCTCAGCTTACTAAGTTATGGCTTGTCCAAATTATGGTACAGGGCTTGAAATTCATTTTTGGGAATAGGTGCACTGGTGCACCCAACCTAAAAAATTAAGTGCACCAAAAATTTTTTGGGTGCACCATATAAAACAAAACCTAATTACAGATCTTACTTCTCCTCTTCTGAGCTTGAATTTGAAATGGATTCTGAAACTAGTACTACAACAAAGTACTACTACAAATTTTTCTGACACTGATGCCAAGAATACTCTGTATTACTGTATACATTTAATATGTACAAAAATACGCACAAAAGTATTTGGGTGCACCAGTGCATCCACAGAAAAAAATTGGGTGCACAGCTCCAAATTTGGGTGCACTAAGGTGCACATGCACCCAGTATTTCGAGCCCTGTGGTACGATAGTGTAAATGTCAGGAATGGGATGGGTATATACTGTCTTGGTATGATAAACCTTATCTTCTGTATCTAAAGCTTCTGTATCTGTATAGCTGGTATAGCCGCCCTTTGGCATAGCACTCTGACTAATGTCAACCTTGCCATTTCCATTTTGACTACAGGATGCCAATGGAGGCATCTGGAAGCTGGACCTCTCCTTCTCACACACGGTACGTTTCATGTCATTCTTCACAACGATGTCTGAAAAGTGTTTGAAATTATGTGACAGTGACATTTTATACATTTGTATTTGCAATTTGTACCTTTGGAAAGCAAACTTAATGATCACAATGTTTTCAGCACCAAGGACAGTGGCAGAAATTGAACACCAGTCAGCACTAAATTGGATGTGTTTTTTTGTCTATCTTGTTTTGTCTATCTTGTGTTGCATTTTGCAAATATTAAAATCATATTTTTCATAATGATCACTTTAGAATTCTGACTGGCTAGTAGAAAGAGACACCCCTGGAGTTCTAAAAGCTAAAAGTTGCAGCTCATACAATTTGTCCCTACCGATCTCCTAATGTACTGATGTTCCCCATGTACAGACAAAAGCCCCAGAGCAGTTGTACCACTACCACGCTGGGAAGATTTCGGGGCTGTCGGCGTCTCCCAACACTCACCTGTTTGCCACCATCGGATCAGACAGTGGGTCTTCTTACCTAGTCTTAGTGTTAATTGTAAAGAGTGGTTGCTGTGATTTCTCAAGCAGCAAGTAGATCGAGTTGATTATTTTCTTTTTGGTAAATATTAGGTCTTGTTATTGATGCCTATGTGCCCAAGTCAATCTTTCAACTCAAGTAGGACTGTTTTTACCAAATTCCTCTTCCCACTGCAAATTCTATATCTGAGTTACCAGTACAACTGCCCTTCGGTATAACACACCAGCTTCTGTAACTGTATAGCCGGTATAACCGCCCTTCGGCGTAACACACCAGCTTCTGTATCTGTATAGCCGGTATAACCGCCCTTCGGCGTAACACACCAGCTTCTGTATCTGTATAGCCGGTATAACCGCCCTTCGGCGTAACACACCAGCTTCTGTATCGGTATAGCCGGTATAACCGCCCTTGGGCAGAACATACCAGCTAATTATGCTGACGACGAATTACACTGGGAAAACACACTAGCTAAGTCTGTTTGTTTGTTATTGTAGTGACATTAAACTATTGTTACTCCCCCTCCTCCAGGCCGTGTGCATGTGTATGACCACGCTGCCAAGCTGCCCCTCTGTACTGCTAAGTACACTGCTGGTGGGTCTGCACTGTGTTGGGCACCTCTTGTGGTAAGTTCTTCCACGCAGTCTTTATTTCTTTCTTTATTTCTTTATTTGAATTTACCACATGCAAAAACAAGTGGAAGGGAGGACAAAACAGGTGTATCAACACCTTTACAAGTTGTCCTCCCAAACCTGAAATGATAATACAAAACAATACGGAACCAAGTCAAACAATAAACATTAGGCATAAGACATCAAAAATCAGTAAACATGAAATATACAATTCAGTAAAAGTTATACAGAGAATTGATTATGTACAAAAATTATCAATAGTCTAATAAGTAATGACCAGCTAGCGAGACGTAGCTTGTCTCTCACCAACACCTTCAGAACCAAAATCCGAACCTTACTTGGAAATCCATACACAGTGAATTTTGACTCTGACCCAAGGTAATTTTTATTAGTATTTTTAATAGTGATCATTAGTTTAAGCCTTGGTGTATTTTGTATACTGGGGTAGATAATCCTGTAGATATAATGAGTTGACAACTCTGATTTTAATGTCCTGCCGCAGCTAGCCATATCACACGAACTACTTGTTACACTCAATCTTTGCACATTTGATTGCAGGTGTTGTTTAAAGCTTTCTAGTGATGATGCCCCAACTGTGCTTGGTGACAATGACTTCCAGTCTAGGATAGTTCTGTGGAAATACGAGTTTTTCAACACCTCAATTCTTGGTTGATAACTCTGATATTTGAAGGCATGACTGTTCCTTGTTCTTTTCTGGGCTGGTATCAGGTACTTAGTGGTTGGTACGTCCACCAGTTTATTCCATTCTCTGTTCCCTCCAGGTTGACCCTGAGGGCTCGACCCTGATCGCAGGGTTCACGGACGGCGTGGTGCGCGTCCTGACGGTGGCTCGGAAGCCGCAGGCGGACGGGAACAGCGGCGGGGATGCCCCCACGGAGATCACGCTGCAGCAGGCCTTCAAACCGCACGCAGGCACAGTCACCGCCATGGCACTGGACAGCAAGGGGAAGATTCTCGCCACCGGGGTCAGTTGTTCATATTCACTTTTGATGTATTTAGAATCCTATTGAAGCTGTCTTTATGTAGAGTCACCATACTCTGAGAGTGGCTGGAAATCAGGGTTTTCTTTTACACAACCAAAATTTGCTTACTCCAGTCAGAAGCTCTGAGGAAGGTGTCTGATAGACACCAAAACATAAGGTAGCAAGGTAGAGACATATTTGGTTGTGTAAAAGAAAACTGCAATATCCTATACACCACCAACTTGATGGAACTATTTTGAGAGTGGCTGTCAAAACGTGAAGCTGTGAAGTTCTTACTTTTTCACATGGCAGTGGTGAAGTGACTGCACAGAGGGCTTCAGTCATCAAGTTTTGATCACACTCAGCAAAGTTACAATGTACCATGGAAAACTTTGGAGAAAAAAAGGGTTTTCTTTGGGTCTTTCTGGCCGAAATTGGGGCATTCAATTTTTAGTAAGGGACGGTTGCCCAGACGCTCTGCAATCTGAAGGCCTGCTTTTTCAAATTAAAAACTTCTGTTCAGGAAGCTTTGATTTTCAATCTCTTGATGTTTGATCCGTCTGAATCCTTATTGTCCTAACAAATCATTACTATTATTGTTGTTTTGCAGGGTGAAGACAAAACTGTGTTTTTCCTGACAGTGGGAGAGAAGTATGAACCCATCGGCTTCGTCTCTGTACCCGGACCGGTGTCATGTGTCGAGTGGTCTCCTGAATCTGAGGTCAGTTTAAACTGTGTTTGTTTGTTTGTTTTATTAGGCTCTCCATTAGGCCTAGGGAAAAAATGTTGTGTTTCCTGTTTCCCAACTGACTCTAGAAAAGCTGCCTACCCTAGTACACATTTTTTTTGTGTGTGGACCCCTGCAAGGGACATAATTTTTGGAGCTGATCAACCTTTTTGAGCTCCATGATCTGACACTTGAGTGATAAAACGTTGTACAATTGGTTTTAGAATATTGACATTGAAAATAAAAGTTTTACTTTTTTAAACTGTATTGTATAAGTTGGACCCTGAAGTCTGAAAAGAAAAGAAAAACCCTACCTGCTGACCCTAATTTTTTTCAGGACTGAAACATGTTTTTCCTACACCTTAGTGCTACATAAGGTATTTATTACTAAACATATCACACATTGGCTTAGTCAGCCATCAGCGGGCATGCAAAAGAAGTGGAAAGGGTCCCTGAAAATCTTCAACAGCGAATACAAACCATTTGACTAAACTTAGTAAAATGTTGAAATTTATTCCAACACAAGGGGTTCACAGAGATCAAATTTTCAATGACCACTGTCGCCTTAATCAGGATAATTAGTGACTAATCACTTCTAAACGTAAACTCGCGAGAGTTACGGTTACAGATACGTGATCTTATTCGCATGAGCCTTTAGTCAAAAGTTATCACGATAGTGTAGCATTTCCATGCTGACATGCTCGTCCCTGTTGCTTATGGTTCCAGGTCGGAGTTTAATTCTGACCAGGGTTCCAAATAGTGCGCAGTAAATCGCCGGATCTGCGAGGTTGTCACGCTAGGTTTGGCTCCCCATAGCTCGGCGATCGCTGTAGATTTTCAACTAGGTTTTGAATTGATCAAAAAGCCTTGGGATTGTAGTGTTTTTCGGCGCGGTGAAGTTGGACGGCCAGCGAAGCGTTTTTGGTATTAGTCCGCGAGCAAGGGTGATGCGGTTTGTCGCCTGATGACCCAAATAGCTGCGTTCTATGTGGAATTTCTAGGGGTTCGCGTCGCCGGATTTTGCGAAAAACTTATCGCAACAACCTATATTTTTTTTCTGTTTTTTCAGAAACAGAAAGTAGTAAGCTATTTCAGCATATAAGCCGTTAGCCTGGGAAAATCGTTTTTTCCTAGCAGGTCCGTTGAAAAAACTGCAAAAAAACTACATTTTTCGTATCCAAAATTTTCGTTTAACTACAGTTTCTACCCAAATTATAGAGTCGACGGACAATAACCAAAATTGTATCGGAAGCCGGCTGGAAACCTCCGTTGACTGATGTAATGAGATTTCCCGGCGTACTTTTTTTGGCGGAGTTATAGCCCTTCGGTCTGAGGGTGTCCGCCGGATCCAAAATCGTAAAAAAAACTCCGGTCCGAGACCTTAAGTCAAACCCAGGGTCCCCAGAAGCTGCTGGTGTGCTGCACTAACGGCACGGTTGTGGAGTTGATACTGTTCTACAACAAACTTAGAACATAGCTATAGAACATACGATGAACTTATGTATGACCGTGAAGTTACAACCATCTGTTACACAGGGTCCCCAGAAACTGCTAGTGTGCTGCACTAACGGCACGGTTGTGGAGTTGGCCGCCCCAGAGCCAGGGACAATCGACACATCGACATCCTTCAAGATCGAAGGTCTGGACATGCGGGGATTCACCTTCAAAAGCATCAAGTCAGAGCTACGGGTAAGCTTGTTTAATTTCTTTTACTTTAATTTCTTTTGTTTAATTTCTTTTCGTAGATGTAAAAACTAGTTTACACACTTCAGTTATAATTTCTGTGTCTTGATTTTGTTTAATTAATCAATTATTTCATTGTTTAATTTTGATATTTAATTCAAATATGTTTTGTCATGTATCATACATGTAGTTACCTTTGTTTGGGGTAGGCCCTTTAAAAAACCACCTAGGTTTCTGGCCTACCCCGCATATTCTCTTATTGTTATCATTTGATTATGTAACTTTTTTTATACATGCAAATAATAAGTAAACAATAAACAAAACAATAAATAAACAAAACAAGCTTGTAACTTGATTTGCTTTGGTAAAGACTGATTTTTTTCATGGCTTTTAACCCTTGTCCTGCTGGCATTTTTTTTACACAATATTTTCAAATAATTTGATGTCTTAATCAGGTCATAGACCCTTGACTTTTTTGCCCTGCGGTGGCGTAGTTACTTCCGCATTCTTTGAGTTTCACTGCAGTGTGATGGGTTGCACGAGAAATACCCCCAAATCATACGGGGGCGTACACACACAGAGCACTACATAGATGGTACTGTATGTGCAACGAGCTCTGCAGGACAAGGGTTTTAATAGCACGTCGGCAGAACGTACTGCGCCTGCGCAGAACCCTGTATTTTCACGATTTTCGGTGGATTTTTGGTCAACGTTGCATCAGAATTTTGCCTGTTGCAAAGGATATCTTTTCCTACATAACATTTGGAAACTACAGACGGGTTGTTAACCTTATATGCGCTAGTACGACCTTATATGGGACGTTCTGCCAAAGTGCTATGTACAATACATTACGGGTTTCGCGCAGGTGCAGTACGTTCTGCCGATGTGCCGGTATTAATAAATGTTGTATTTATGCTACATGTTTGTACATTGCTATGTATATCTGTTATCTCTGTGTGTTTCATTTTTTCTGACAGAGGGAAGAAGAACGAATCAGGAAGGAGGAAGAGAGGGAGCAGAGGAAGAAGGAAAGAGAACGAAGGAGAAAGATCCGGCAACAGCAGGGGATAGAGGATGATGAAGAAGAAGGTATGATTAACGTCTAATTGAATAATAAGCAGCTGTTATATTAGGTCCTGCATTACCTGTACCTTACAGTACTAGCCTTGTGCTAATGGGGTTGATGAAGCATTGTTCTCGTTGTAATACTTACCTTTGTTTTTGGCTCTTACCCAAACACATCAGGTCAATGACCTCAACCAGATGTCTGTCACCATGGTAACTGGTGCTGTAGCAGATGTTGGGTTACCTAATGTAGCAAGTGGCAGGACAGAGTTGGAGGGGCTGGGCACTTTATATATCAAATGTGTTTGAGTAAGAATATAAACAGAGCACAGTAGTTTGTTAGACCAGACAGTGATGGTAAACATGACACATTTGCTCTGTGAATGTTACCTGTCTAATTCACCCTGCCTTTTCTTGTCTGTTATCCAGTTGAGGAAGGTGAGATTGAGCTGGAGACGCCCATGTACCTCCCCCCTGTACCCAGCCCCATCCTGCAGGGCTTCTACCACGGACCCCCCGGAACTGTCTGGCTCTCTATGGTGAGTACACCCCCTGAAGCAGGTATTGCTTTGCAAATGTTACCCTTCTAGTTTGCTGAATATTTATGGCTTCACCACAAAGTGGTGAAGACATATTGTGTTCCCTCATGTTTCTTCTTCTCCTGCCATTTCTTTAAATGGATTCATCTCTGCCATTTTCTGGCCAAATAACACGAAATTTGGCATGAAGGTAGAGTGGGCAAATACCCTGACGCGTTTTTTTCATTTTTTTGAAAAATTGTTTT